CCCCGTTCCCATGTGCCAGTGCGCCCAGCCCCACACATGCATGCCTGCCCCTATGCCTGTCACCCACACAGCCACCTGGCCCTGCACACCCAACCCCAACCCCTGGCACTCAAGGGCTGTGGGAACCGGGCATGGCCCTGCTGGGGGACGGGGGCATGGGGACAAGCCTGCCTGCTGGCACATACCCAACCTGGTGCCATGCTACTTCACTCTGACGTCATACCGCTGGCGACATCATGGGGTCTCCATAGCAACCCTTGTAAGGTCACTGCCCCGCGGGGGACCATCTGGCTGACAGGAGGGCTGTGCTGTGACCCTCCTGCCACCTGGGCACCCCACAGCCTCCCCACTCGCCCCCTTGCCAGTGTGGGGTGGGACCCCGGTGGGGTGCTGTGTCCCATGGGAGGGTGGGTGTGGGGTGCCCCCCAGCCAGGCTCGGGGTGCCCCAGCTGCTCCCAGCCCTGCGTCCCAGCTGGGGAGCGCAGCCAAGGCGCCAGCGAGGCGTGATGGCACATTGAGGGCGGGGGAACGGGCCAGCGCTTTTGGGCTACCATCTGGGGTCCGGGCAGTGGCGGCCGCGGGCACACACGTGAACAGCACACGTGTGCAGGGCGGGCACTCAGCCCGCTACGCGCTGGCACCCAGTGCCTGTCCCCTCGTGCACCAGCCACCCAGTAGCTTGGGACATGCCCCATCCATGGGACAGCAGCACCCAACTGTGCCCCACCGGGACACGTGCAAGCCCAGAGCCGCCCCACGCTGTGCCAGCCCCAGTGATCCCAGCCCAGCCCTCCCAGCTCACACCTCCAGCCCTGCCCCACATGCAGCCGGGCACCTCCCGTGCCCTGACACCCCACAACGTGCCTACACAAGCATCCCTCCATGCCCTGGTTTGGCTGCACCACCTTGCCCGGGCCACCTGTGTGCCACTACCAGACATCCTGCCCTGGCCACACTGCCCCTGTGCCCCCCACAGCAGCCTTAGCCCAGCGGGACCCACCGCCCCATCCTGGGGATGCCAGGCCCTGCACCAGCCCACGGGAGCACAGCACTGCTCCCCTGGCAGCCTGGCCAGCAGGCAGAGGGGACTGCCAGCCCCATGAGAATATGCTGCTGGAAAGAAAGGGCCCGCAGCAGGATCCTCACCTCCCCTGACACCCTGGTCCCCACCCCGGCTGGCTGGCAGTGCTGAGGCTGAACTAGAGAGGCAGGGGCAATGAGCACATCAGGGATGGCCATAGGTCTTCCAGCCCGCATCACCCTGTCCCCGAGCAGGGCTGCAGGGTGCCCAGGGTATGGATGATACCCAGGGACCTGCCCTGGTGCCACCATTCCCTAGCCAGGCGCTTCCCGACGGGGCTGCCTTTCTCTGGCCCCATTCTCCCGAGAAGGACACAATTTTCCCGGGGCGTTCAGGCAGAAAAATCCCCCGCCGCCCCCCCCCCCCCCCCCCTCCCCTGTGGCCATTTTGG